CATCACTGACTCAATGGACATGAGTTTGAGTAAACTCCAGGAGTTGGTGATGGACAGGGAAGCCTGGCATGCTTCAGGTCACGGGGTCACAAGGAGTCAGACATGACTGAGCAACTGAACTGAACTGGAACCACTCTGATCCAAAAAGTAGAACAGTCACTAGCTAGGAGTGGGGGGATGGGAGGTGGGGCAAGTTATTGATTAATCTGTATGATTAAGAGGGAGGGTTAGTCATGTGAACAGGCTGTGGGTGAGGCAAGGACTCCTTGAGCAGGGATGTACGCAGAGCAGGAGTAAAGCCATCTTGAGTGGCCCGACCATACACAGCCACATAGTGTTTTTGAACTTAGCAAAAAATTTTTTTTTAATTTGGCTGCACTGGGTCTTATTTGCAGCATTTGGAATCTTCACTGCCATTTGTGGGCTTAGTTGCAGCATGCAGGCTGTAGCTTCCTAACCAGGGATCGAACCTGGGCTACTTGCATTGGGAGTGTAGTGTCTTAAATCATTGGACCACCAGGGAAGTCCCCAGCAAAAGTGTTTTTACCTGTTAGCTGAACTATTAAACAGTATTTTTAGTGACCCTCTTTTAAAGGATTTGAGAACTGGTAGAACATTTTAATAATATTTCTCATTAGGATTTGTGATGGTGACTAAATTTCAGGATATTAAGCTTATGATTTTAAGTTTAAGTATGTTTTAAAACATTATGGGAAAGTAAAGTTGAAAAATACCAAACTCTATACTGTTTTATTGTGATTAAAAATACAGCCATGTTTTAAATGAAGCCTATTTTACTATCTTATAATCCAATAGTGTTTGGATTTTTTTTTAATTGAGATGAAATTCACACAGCATAAAATTTACCATTTTAAAATGAACAATTTAATGGCATTTAGTAAGTTCACAATATTGTACAGTCACCTCTAATACCTTTTTTTTTTTTTTTTTTTTTTTTGCTTAAAATTTTTTTTTTCCATTTATTTTTATTAGTTGGAGGCTAATACCTTTTTTTTTTTTTTTTAATCATCTGCCCAGAGGAGATCCTCATACCATTAAGCAGCATTACCAGTGGGGTATGTGTTTAATACCTGGCTGGGGAGTTAAAATTCCACATGCCTCGTGGCCAAAAAAGCGAAATATAAAACAGAAGCAATATTGTACCAAATTTAATAAAGATGTTTTAAAAAAACAGTATACATGAAAAAAAAACTTAGAAAAAGGAATAAAATTATTCTTCTTACATAGATGTCTATTTGAAACTTCAAAATAAGACTGTTAGAATAAGGAAGAGCACATATTCATTTGAAGAGGATTCATTCTCTCCTCTGACAGGCCATAGTGTAGGGCAGATTGCCCCAATTTAGTAAGGAACTGAGCTGATTTGAGGTAGGTTTGTAAAACTTATGAAACATGTAATTCTTTATTTATCCCTCCCCCCTTTCTAAGTTATCGCCTTCCAGAGGTCACAGTTGTAGGCCCAGGGTTTCTCACAAGACTGCCCCAAATTCTGTTATTTTCTATTGTATTTGTTTTGCTGCTTTCTGCTTTGCTTTTTAGCTTCTTGCTCTGTGTATTTTAAGAATTTGTCAAATGCCACTAGAGAAGAACCATTGGGTGTCACATCTCTGTAACTCCTTTCTCCCAGGAAACTTGGCAGCCTGGAACTCCCGCTTTTGCCTCCATTCTTTTGAAATTGCTGAAAGCTTTGATGACTCCTCTACCTCTTGGCTGTGGGTCTTGCTGGGCGTTGGTTTCCTCTGGACTTTGCCCCATGCACCTTTTCTCTTGGTTGATTTTGCTTTGTGTATCTTCAGTGTAATAAGTAATAGCTTTGAATATAACTCTGTGCTGAATCTTGTAAATCTTCCTAGCAAATCACTAAACCTACAACCAAGATCATTCTACCCAGCAAGGATCTCATTCAGATTTGACAGAGAAATCAAAAGCTTTATAGACAAGCAAAAGTTAAGAGAATTCAGCACCCACCAGACCAGCTTTACAATAAGTGCTAAGGGAACTTCTCTAGGCAAGAAACACAGGAGAAAGAAAAGATCTGCAAAAACAAACCCAGAACAATAAAGTAAATTGTAATAGGATCATAATATCAATAATTACTTTAAATGTAAATAGATGAAATGTTCTGAACAAAAGACACAGACTGGCTGAATGGGTACAAAAGCAAGATCCAGATACATGCTATGTACAAGAGACCCTCTTCAGACCTAGGGAAACAATACAGACTGAAAGTGAGGAGCTGGAAAAAAACATTCCATGCAAATGGATATCCAAAGAAAGCTAGAGTAGCAATACTCATCACAGATAAAATAGACTTTAGAATAAAGACTGTTACATAGAAAGAACAGTAATTATTGATCAAGAAATCAATCCAAGAAGATATAACAACTGTAAACATATCTGCACCCAACAAAGGAGCACCTCAATATATAAGGCAAATGCTAACAGCTATAAAAGGGGAAATCAACAGTAACACAAATAATAGTGGAGGACTATAACACTTAACTCACACCAATGGACAGATCATCCAAACAAAAAATTAATAAGGAAACATATGTCTTAAATAACACATTAGATCAGATGGACCTAATTGATATCTACAGGATATCCCATTCAAAAGCAGCAAAATATACATTTTTCCTCTAGTGCACATGGAACATTCTTAAGGAGAGATTACATCTTGGGTCACAAATCAAGCTTTGGTAAATTTAAGAAAATTGAAATCATATCAAGCATTTTTTTTTTAAACCACAATGCTATGAAATTAGGTATCAATTACAGGGGGAAAACTGTTAAAAAAAATACAAACACAGGAAAGCTAAACAATACGCTTCTAAATAACCAAGAGGTCACTGAAGAAGTCAAATGGAAATGAAAAAGCACCTAGAAACAGATGACAAGAAAAACACAACCCAAAGCCTATGGCATGCAGCAAAAGCAGTACTAAGCGACAAGTTTAAAGTAATACAAGCCTACCTCAAGAAACTAGAAAATCATCAAATAAGCAGCTTAACCTTACACCTAAAGCAACTAGAAAAAGAACAAAAAAGACACAAAATTAGTAGGAGGGAAGGTCAGCAGAAATAAGTGAAAAAGAAATGAAGAAAACAATAGCAATGATCAATAAAACTAAAAGCTGGTTCTTTGAGAAGATGAACAAACTTGACAAACCATTAGCCAGATTCATCAGGAAAAAGAGAGTACTCAAGTCAATAACATTAGAAATGAAAAAGGAGAAGTTACGACTCACACCACAGAAATACAAAACATCATTAAGAGGCAACTACTATATAGTTGCATCATAAGAAGCAACTATATGCCAATAAAATGGACAGCCTGAAAGAAATGGACAAATTCTTAGAAAAGTACAACCTTCCAAGACTGAACCAGGAGGACATATATGAACAGACTAATCACAAGCACTGAAGACAAAATATGAAAATATCAATCGCAAGCTCTGAAATAAAAACTGTGATCAAAAAGCTTCCAGCAAACCAAAGCCTAGGCCTAGAGAAGCACTAACACCTATTTGCTGAAACTCTTCCAAAAAATTGCAGAGAGAGAAAAACACCCTGAAAATTTGAAGCACCATGGTCAAAATAGAATGAGTCATAGGTTTTTGAAAGTAAAAGAATAATTGTCATTTTAAAGGCAAATAATTAATTCAACTTTTTTTCCTAAAATCCTAACAGAGTGATGATATTTTAGTTGTGTAACAATGAAATTGTTCTTTTGAACGTTAGATGTGTTGTAAAGTCTTGTACAGCCTCCAAACCACTCAGCCTGGTTTATCAGTACCACTGTGTCATGGTGCAAGCTCTGAACGTTTAACAGGAAGTTTACTATGCAAGATCAAGTTGATTTTGCAATATATTTTTCTCTTTCCTTTAATGAGCAATATTAAAACAATTCTAGGAAAAATGATACTCTCATCGGATGAGTTTTGCCTTCTCATAAAATTAGAACCATATAATCCATTAACTTGTCTTTTCCGTTTAAACTTCAGATATTTGAACTGAATTTAGTATTCAGTTGCAGGAATTCTTTAATTTTCGGTGCATGATAACATCAGCTTCTCTGCTCATTTGAAAATATTATTGTTCCTTTTTATATTGTCTGATTTTATAGCTTTTAATGGCATCAGCAATAGGAAATTCTTTTTTGGAAGTAGGTGGGTTATAAACAAACATACATCTGTACGAAACTTAGATTCTTTTGGTCACAAAAGGGGGGTGTTGAGATGTTTCTGTAATGTTTCTTTGTGTGTGTGTGTAAAGCCTCCCAAATGGGGAGAAATCAGAATATGTGATTTTTTTTTTGAAGAGGAAAGAATATGTTACCTAGTGGAAGGGTTGCCTTAATCCCAAACAGCCTACCTAATGAAATATTTAGAAGCACTTAGCGCTTTTAAGCAAATATCTTCTGTGTCCCAAGGGAAAGTAATTAATCTGGGTATAGAATGTTCCCTTGTTTTTATTTTTATTCTTGACCAGTGGAGACTGTGAGGATGGGTATATGGGCTGTTCTTATGGCAAATGGTTGTAGACTTAGAATAAGTGGTCTCATGGTATTACTGGAGGAACCAATTAGATACCACAGTTTCTTATAAAGCCTCTTGAAATTATCTTTTACTTGACTTACAGTGATAAAAATAAACTCCTAAGCTTACAAATTGATGAAATCCTTCAATGAAGTAACCTACTGAGAGTCCATTTTTTTTTTTAGCTATCTAATTGTAGGATATATATCGATACTCTTGTCATATAATTAAGTTAGCATTTCACCCTATATTATCAATGCAATTATTTTCAGCTATTACAAATGCCTTAATTTGTTCATTTGGATATCATTTTAAAAATTAACCCAAACTACTACTTGTATTATATTGAAATCAATGTTAATCCAGAATATAGTCAAATAATCTTATTTTAAAGCCTTGTAACCTAACTAAGTCTTATGTGTTCTGTATGCTTTGGCTACAGCCCCACCACTTATGTTTTGGATGAAGATGAACCTCGATTCCTTGAAGAAGTTGATTACAGTGCAGAAAGTAATGATGACTTAGATATTGAATTGGCTGAAAACACAGGAGACTATGAACCTTCTACCCAAGAAGAAGTACTTTCTGACTCTGAATCAAGAACATACTTATCTTGAACCCTTTGCCATCACTTATTAATTGCAAAGAAGAAGTGAAATATCTTGGTTTTTGTTACATAGGAAGTGTGAGAGAAATGACTTTATAGAAAGCTGACTCAGAAAGACGGAAAGCATCTTGGACCTGTTTGGTTTCAAGACAATAAATATGTTATTAATTCATGATAAAATTGGCACTTGTTTTATTTTAGATATTCAATGCACTTTACATAGCATTGAAGTATCAAATATTGGATTTACTTTTTAAAAAAACCCTGAGTGTCACTGCATGAGTTTTTAATCTCCTTATGGTTATATATCCTGCATCAAATGGGTAATTTTGAAGTGCGTGAGAATATAAAGTCTAAATTCCAGAGTTGTTGAGAATCCTGAGTTACTGAAAACTAATATATATGTACATGGATTCCTGTAGATGTGTCTGTGTAAGGATGGGTAGATATTGAAGATATGACTGTTCTTCTCAATCATGTTAACTGTTGAGTTGTGACTGAAATCATCCAGAGTTTGCCTTGAAACCATTACATTCTACATTTACCAAATTAAACAAATAAAAACTATATTAAATGTTGCATTCATTTTGTCATCCTTTTTAACCAGCTCAGATTATTTGGTCTATGGAATCTTCGGGGAAATATTATAATAATCTGACATTTGAATACATTGATAAAAATTTGTGAAAAAAAATGCTTACTAGCGTTGTTTATATAGTAGAGGCATACCTATCATAAAAAATATATTTGAACAGCTCTTTTCTCTAAAATCGTGTCTCATGGGTGCACCTAAAGCCTGCTGCTGCAAACTGTTGCTGCTGCTGCTGCTGAGTCACTTCAGTCGTGTCCAACTCTGTGCGACCCCATAGAGGGCAGCCCAGCAGGCTCCCCCGTCCCTGAGATTCTCCAGGCAAGAACACTGGGGTGGGTTGCCATTTCCTTCTCAAACGCACAAAAGTGAAAAGTGAAAGTGAAGTCGCTTAGTCGTGTCCGACTCCCAGCGACCCCGTGGACAGAAGCCTGCCAGGCTCCTCCGTCCATGGGATTCTCAAGGCAAAAGAGTACTGGAGTGGGGTGCCATTGCCTTCTCCGGCTGCAGACTGTTAAAAAGGTTTAAAAATGTAGTGAGGGTATGAGCCAGTGCTAAATGTATATGAAGCGTATGCTGCATCTCCTGAGCTGTGCAGTTATTAAGTATACTGACGTGAATTCATTTGGGGCATGCTGACACTGTGAGTCCTAGAAAAGGCAGTGAATTTCAGCCTTTTCTTGTAGTGACATCTTCCCAAGTTTAAGCTGTCCTGCTGCAGGAATGACTTTGTCCTTATTTATGAAGCAAAATAAAACAAGTCCAATGACTTTGGATAACTGCTCTAAGAACTAAGTTTCTGTTGTAACAAAACAAATGCAAAAAGATAATGTATGAACAGACTTGCCAGGGCTTGGGTGCTTCAGTTTTGGCATGTTATCTTCACATATTTTGGAGAATTTTTCAGAATCTTTCTTTAGAGACCTGTAATAATGAAAAAGAAATTATGAAAGTGTTTCAGATTTTTGCACTTTCTCAATCAACGATTTTCATTGTCTTATTTGAGACATTTCACCCACAGTGTGGCTTCTTTTTGGCACCAGAGGAACCATGTTTAAAAACATAGCAAGGGGCCATAATATTGAGGTCTTATCTCTAAATAGCCTAATTCTTACTAATCTCAGAAAGCAAAGACTAAGTAGATTGGGAAGTTGAACTAGCCCTCTTAGTGTGTGGTGACCTGATTTAGGAAATATCAGGATACTTTAGCATTATTTATTTAACAATTAATGATTTGTAAAGTTAATTATTTTATTATTTTATATATTAGTAGAAGGTAATCACATATATAACTATAGTATTTTCAGAGGGTGGATTATAGACCACTATGTCTGAATGTGAGCTTTTCTTGGCTCTTAAAAAACTAGAAATTAAAAATCAGAAAAGTCTTATATGAAAGGCAACTGCAGCTACTAGAATATGCAGAATAACTCAGAGTGTGTGTCTCTTATGTTAGTATAAAAACCTCTAACCATATGCTGCTATCATACTTTATATTGATAAGGCATATCTTTTAGTATATGTTGCATACCTGAACATGCTTTTTATTAAATAATTATTCATAAAATTGAAGAGAAGTTCTTTATAGTTAGGAGATGACTAACAATAAATTTTGGAAAAGTAAATAATTTAAATCCTAACTTTTCTAATTAGGGGTAAACTAAATGTCATTGGCTATTTGTAGCTAAAAATGCCCTGAATTTTACCTTTATCTTTTTAGATTTTCATAAAATGACTGAGATGCCTTCAGTGCCATAATCCTGATAATGAACGTGGCTGATAAAGTGAAAGTGAAAGTCACTCAGTTGTGTCCGACTCACTGCGACCCATGAACTATACAGTCCATGGAATTCTCCGGCAGAATACTGGAGTGGGTAGCCTTTCCCTTCTCCAGGGGACCTTCCCAACCCAGGGATCAAACCCAGGCCTTCCTGCATTGTAGGCGGATTCTTTAGCAGCTGAGCCACAAGGGAAGCCCAGGAATACTGGTGTGGGTAGCCTCTCCCTTCTCCAGCAGACCTTCCCGACCCAGGAATCAACCCAGGGCCTCCTGCACTGCAGGTGGATTCTTTACCAACTGAGCTATCAGGGAAGCATGGTTGATAAACCAAGTCTAGAATTTAGACTAATTTGATTTACTTCACAGTTGGAACTGTGAATTTCATAACTGTAGTTTTGATCTAACCCATTGGTTCTCAAATTGTGTATATATTGTGTGCATCAGAATCACCTGGAGAACTTGCTTCTCAAAACACAGATGACTGACTCTGTGGATCTGGGGCAGGGCCCCCAAATGTGTATTTCTTAAAAATTCTCGGATGGTGATGTTGGAGGAACAACACAGGAACAACTGATAAGATCAGATAATACTATTATCACAGTTTCCTAAGAATCACAGGACCTATGAATTGGAAGTCAGCACCAGAGATGAGTTAGAGCAAGATAATTTGTAGAATCAAGAAAATGGGCAGAGATCAAGAAGGTCACTGAGGGCCAGAGCTGGGGCTTTAGCCCAGGTCTCTTGACAATTAGCCTCATGTTCTTACCAAAGAAGGAGATGCTGTCTTTTGCCTTTCCCCCTCAAGTGAGGAATGTTAAAAGCTTGAGGGTCAGCCTTCCTTGAGTTTACAAAAATTCATCTGGCAAAAACCAATGGCTCACAATGGCTTTTTCTTTATTGCAGTCATAGTGTTGTTTGAATACAGGATTTTGTTCTGGATTAAGTATCATTCTTAATCAGTCTCTGCCACTTCTACCAGTTTTTGTGTGGTGTTTAGAAACATGGAAATTTGTCTGAATCCTAATTACAAATAAGTAAGCTGGTGTTCCACTTTGGATAGTACATTAACCACAGTGAATATGATACTTCTAAATTTCAATTATCCAAATTAAGGTAATCATATTTAATATAAGCACTGAAATGGATAATATAATAAGTGTACTAATGGAGTTGTTTTTATGCATGATCCAGAAATAAATTACAGTAATGAGATGATAAGTGCATCTTTATAAATCTTTTTACTTTCCTATATTTATTTTAATAATTATAAAATATTAATTGAAAATTAGTGAACTTTTCTCTTATTTTGGTGAAAGGTTAAACCCTAGTTCTCCATTAGGGAAAAACCCGTAGGAGCAATAGTTTAATTGAAAGGCTTCCCAGGTGGTGCTAGTGGTAAAGAACCTGCCTGCCAATGCAAGAGACACAGGTTTGATCCCTGGGTTGGGAACATGCCCTGGAGAAGGAAATGGCAACCCACTCCAGTATTCTTGCATGGAGAATTCCATGGACAGAGGAGCGTGGTGGACTACAGTCCATGGGATCACAAAGAGACATGACTGAGTGACTAAGCATGCACATTAACCCATCAATTCTATTTTACATGACAGAATGTTATTCATTATTGCTTCCCTGGTGGCGCAGACAGTAAAGACTCTACCTGCAATGCTAGAGGACCCAGGTTCGATCTCTGGCTCAGAAAGACCCCCTGGAGAAGGAAATGGCAACCCATTCCAGTATTCTTGCCTGGAAAATTAGATAGTACATTAACCACAGTGAATATGATACTTCTAAATTTCAATTATCCAAATTAAGGTAATCATATTTAATATAAGCACTGAAATGGATAATAAGTGTACTAATGGAGTTGTTTTTATGCATGATCCAGAAATAAATTACAGTAATGAGATGATAAGTGCATCTTTATAAATCTTTTTACTTTCCTATATTTATTTTAATAATTATAAAATATTAATTGAAAATTAGTGAACTTTTCTCTTATTTTGGTGAAAGGTTAAACCCTAGTTCTCCATTAGGGAAAAACCCGTAGGAGCAATAGTTTAATTGAAAGGCTTCCCAGGTGGTGCTAGTGGTAAAGAACCTGCCTGCCAATGCAAGAGACACAGGTTTGATCCCTGGGTTGGGAACATGCCCTGGAGAAGGAAATGGCAACCCACTCCAGTATTCTTGCATGGAGAATTCCATGGACAGAGGAGCGTGGTGGACTACAGTCCATGGGATCACAAAGAGACATGAATGAGTGACTAAGCATGCACATTAACCCATCAATTCTATTTTACATGACAGAATGTTATTCATTATTGCTTCCCTGGTGGCGCAGACAGTAAAGACTCTACCTGCAATGCTAGAGGACCCAGGTTCGATCTCTGGCTCAGAAAGACCCCCTGGAGAAGGAAATGGCAACCCATTCCAGTATTCTTGCCTGGAAAATTCCATGGACAGAAGAGCCTGGGGGGTTACAGTCCATGCGGTTGCAAAGAGTCAGACACGACTGAGCTACTAACATCCATCAATTCTACTTTACATGACAGAATATTATCATTAATGATTAAGTAAATATTTCTCTGGTGAAAGCATATTTAAATTCCTGCATTGAAAAAGGAAAACTCAAAAAAAAAAAACAAAACTCAGAAGAAAGTCTCATTTTCTTTATGATGATTAGTGTTTTGAAGATTTAGTCCTTGAAATGTTACATTTCAGCTGTTTCTCACTATTAACAATATTTATAAAGCACTTCTTGCCTGTACTGGGCTGACACGGGTCGTGGGAAGTCTGCCTCTGTGGTGCCTTCCTCTTTCTAGACCTGAACAGTAACTTTGGTCCATGGCCACTTACTCTTCCTGCCCCACCTCAAATGCCTTCTTCTCTATACTCAGGCGCTTGGACCTGCTGGCACCCTCTGTCAAATCCAATCAAGTCTACAGAACTTGTTGGTTGTTGAGGGTATTGAGTCATTAAACCTATTTTTTTTTTCCCCCAGTCTGTGTTTGCTAAGCAGGCAGTGCCTAGATCCAAATGAATGGCCCTGTTTTGGTGGCATGGGAGGCATCATGCAGGCTAGTCAGAGTGTTACTTGGGAGTCTGGGACATGGTTGACACTGGTGAGTGTGGACAGGGTCTCTGTGGGTGTGCATTTGTGCAGAAGATGGTCACCCCCCCCATGAAATAGAAATGGATTTATGGTACCT